CATGCAACCGTACAGCAGTGCCTCCATCGCCTCCGCCTGGAGCAGGCGGATCTTGAGTCGGAATGGCGCTTGCGGTCCCGGCCATTTCGCCTGAGGCACGCCCGCGCTGCTCTGCTCCTCCTGTAGTTGATCTCCCGGGTGAGGTCGCCATGTTCGTTGACGAGGCCACCGAGGTACCGGAACTCGGTCGTCTGGGCGTATTTCTGTCCCGCGGCTTCGATGGTCAGTGGTGGAGGCGGGGCGGGCTGTGATGTTGTAGTCGGCTTGTCCTTCGCGCGCATCAGGAGCGTCTCCGTCTTCTTCTCCGACACCATTAGCCCGAACTCCCCGAACACCTCAACGATGATGGTCCTCATTCTCGCCAGTCCTTCTGCAGACCCCGATTCGACGCCGACATCATCGGCACACAGCATCCCCCATACTGTCCTCCGTACTCGGTCAAGGGGTGTCTCCTCCCCCTCCCCCGCTTCCGTCTTCCCCTCCTCCAAGCACACCAGGCTCCGCAGAACAACATCATCCTCGCTGAATCGGATGACAACGACCTCGAGGACCTCGGCGAAGAAGATGTTGAACACCAGTGGGGATAGCACACATCCTTGTCGCACGCCCTGTGTCATGAAGAACCAGTCCGATAGTTCGCCGTCGTCCATGCGCACCCGGGCCCGCATTCCATCGTGGAATTGGCGGATGACTTCGATCAGCTTCGCGGGAATCCCGGCCCTGGCCAGCACCTTCCATAGCATCTCTCGGTCCACCGAATCATACGGCTTGTTCAAGTCGACGAAGCACCTGTAGAGCGGTATTTTCTTTCTCCGCCCCAGCTCCGGAGGCGGCGCACGACGAACAGCATGTCGACGGTGGATCGCCCGGGTCGAAATCCGCACTGTTTCTCCGGGAGGATGTTGTTGGCTTCGCAGAAGGCGCTTAGACGGTTGGTGATGATCTTGATGGGAACCTTGCCTACGTGAGATAGTAGCGAAATCCCCCTGTAGGTGTTATAGTTGGACCGGTCACCCTTCTTGTACAGCACCTTGATGGTTCTATCCTTCCACTCTCGCGGAATATTTCCTCCGTACCACACCTTGATGAGGATCGTATGGAGGTGTCCCAGGACGAATGGTTCGTCGTCATCGATCTTGAGCAACTCGGCAGGGAGGGAGTCATGGCCGGGTGCCTTCCAGTTNGTCATGGCCGGTTGCCTTCCAGTTCTTGAGGCCTTTCGTTGCCCGTGCCACCTCCTCAAGTTCTGGCACCTCTCCCAACCGTTGAGTGTCACGTGTCGCTGGCCGCTGCGTCAATCGTTCGATTATGTCTGGGTTCAGGGTGGGGGATTTGGTGGTGAGCAGGGTGCTGAGGAATCTCGCCCACCGCTGGAGGATGTCGTCCCTGTTCCGGAGCAACATTCCGTTCTCATCCGCGACGAATTGCTGTCCCCCCGCGTGTCTCCCGCTGAGGCCCACTGATCTCTTGAGGTGTTGGTAAAGTCCTCGCATGTCGCGATCTTTGTAGATTTCTTCGAGCTCAGTCACATATCCGTCCAGGTGGGCA